CCCCCCGACTCCACCATCGTACCTGGCGGTGGATAAAGCTACTCCCTTCACTCGCAAAGATCCTTCACTCTGCATCGGAGAAGAAAAACAAAACTACCTCTGTTCTACAGTGAAACTCCCACCCACTCGAATATGTTGCACCAAAAACATTAACAATCATTCACTGTTCAGATCCCTCGGTGGCGAGAGACGTGTGCCACTTGTCTTAGTACTGAAAATAAATGTCTCAACAGGTTTGTTTAAGTCTGCTGCAAAAGCTGTTAAAGTTGAGAGTAACTGCCAAAAAAAACCCTGATAACTCAACTGAACTGATCACCTGTGGTTATAAGAGTAGAAATATTTCACTGCTCACTTTCTCAGGAGAAGAAAACATTCGGATGGAAAGGACTCCTGGATCATGAACTGGGTTCTGTTCATGGTGTTTTCAATAGTCCTGATGTTCCTGCTGAAGAAAGGTTTTCCCCTCTAGCTAACGGTGAATAATAGCAGATGGTAAAATCTTTTAAAGAAAAGTAAGACTGTTGAAAGGGCGAGTTATGAATAYTGAATATGAGCTGAAAGTGTTGCASAAAGCCCAAACCTGCTGTGGATTTAAAATAGACGTGAGACGGACCACGCTGAAAGCTCTGACACAGGGAACAAAAAGAAAATACATTTTTTTCTGTGATAAAAGGGGGAGAAAAGCTCCAACGGCTGTATCTGCTTTCCCTGTTGTCGATCCTGATRAACAATATCCTCTCTGCCTTCACTCCGAGTCGGGTGATCCCGCTGTTGCCATGGCGACATGCATGTATTTTCCATCCAGAAAAGGCTGCGATCGATTCCCTCTATCTTTAACACACAGGGACACTCGAAYGCAAYGTTACAGAGAGTGGCTGGATGTGAYRAAGGTCGRKGTTTAAACACTCCTTTGTTTCAGGGTTCTTAAGAGCACAGCACAGAACCACATCGTTTGCAAATAGAGACAGAATCCTGAGTCCAGTGAACTGGACCCCCTCTACCCCTGGCTGCACCACCAAGTTCTGTCCATAAACATGAACCAAACCTCACACTGTTTCTATAGGGACAGAGTGACCAATAGCAACAGAGCCCCAGTCCCATCCTCAMAGAGCCCCCCSACAGTGTACCTCAGGGAACACAGTCACCTAATATGTTAGGCTTTTTTCTTAAAGGGATCCATGATTATCTGTAACATTAGACTTTATTTAATAAACATTTATTTTAGCTGTAAAATAAAGACTGTAAAAATACTGTAGGCTGTTTAGTTTTTATCATTTGTAAAAATATATTTTAACAATGACTGAGTCATTTTATTTACACACAAAGCATTCTGGGTAAAAGTTGATGTGGATAGGTCCTCGGTGTGAGCGAGCTATATCCACCCTGAAGGTTAATCTTGGACAATATCTGATGATCGACTCTTTTAAATGAAACCAGAGAGCGTTGACAGAGAGGAGAAGGTAGAAATGACTCAGCCTGTAACTGAAAATATAGATGGAGGACAACAGAGCTGCTTCATGGAAGAAGAACCTCAGCTTAGCCTGTTAGCTTTAGCGTTAGCGCAGATGCTATATTGCCTTATATGTATTAGCTCAGCGCTAGCTCATCAAACAAGCTAAACTGAGGTCCTCCATCTATATATTCAGTTACAGGCTGAGTCATTTTTGTGTTCCCCTCTCTATCATGTGGATGGAGGATCTCAGTGACGAGAGGAGAATGTGTAGCGCTGAGCTAATATATATGGTGATAGCATCGGGGCTAATGTCAAAGCTAACAGGCTAAGCTGAGGTTCTTCTTCCATGAAGCAGCTCTGTTGTCCTCCATCYATATTTTCAGTTACAGGCTGAGTCATTTCTACCTTCTCCTCTCTGTCAACGCTCTCTGGTTTCATTTAAAAGAGTCGATCATCAGATATTGTCCAAGATTAACCTTCAGGGTGGATATAGCTCACTAGCAGCCTCGCACCGAGGACCTATCCACGTCATCATTTACCCAGAATACTTTGTGTGTAAATAAAATGGCTCCGTCCATGTAATTTATTTTTAAACTTCTAGTTTAAAAATGATAAAGCTAAACAGACTACAGTATTTTTAATCTTTATTTTACAGTTAAAATATATGTTTATTAAATAAAGTCTAATGTTACAACTAATCATGGATCCCTTTAAAGAAAACATTACCTGCTGCCTTTAATGCTAACRTTTTTTTAAAGGAACCTTTTATTGAAAGAGAATTCACAGGTGATAATACAACAGTACAGTAAACACACAGCTTCCTTGATTTTTTTTCTCCCTTTTAACCTCTTTCCCTTCTTTTATTCCTCCCATAACCCCCCCAACCAAAGGACAGAGATTGCCAATGCACATTCATATCTAGACAATGTGGAATAACAAGTATCTGAGGTAAATAATTGACCATAGAAATGCAATAAGAACCTTTTTCTTTAAAAAACGAGCAAACAACAAAACAAAACAAAAAAATATAATTAAATAATAATAAAAATGGGTGGAGGGAGCTCTGTTTTTACAATCAGAGTTTACAGTATAAGACTCAGTGGAGGACCCCAGGTTCTCTCGAACAGGTCCAGGGAGCCATTAATGAATTWAAGCTTCTCCAGTCTGATGGACAGTCACAGCTCCTTCTAATGCCAGAGTTATAAACTGAGATGGTCTTGCATTAAAAAATAACAAAGTTGCATCTGTTTTAGTCAAACCTTAAAACTAATGTTTTGTGATAGAAATGTGCCTCTCATTGAGCCTCTGCTACTATTGCACCAAAGCTTTAGTCAGTATCTGTAAAATTAGAGTTTAATTAAAGACTGAGTTACAGCCGTTCTTGTGTTTTCTAACATTGAATTAGGTTTTCTCTGAAAGTTAAGCAACCAATAATATCCAATGATTACTATCTTTTGTTTGACATTTTTCCAGTGGTTCATAACATATTTAGCTAACAGGCAGATCTAAAACACACTCGTGGTCGATTAAAGAGGAACAATGAGGCAGAAGTTAGAAAGATAACAAAATTTAGTCCACGTTAGATTTGCACTGAAATCTGTCCTCCAGCTGAAAATCTGTTTACAGCAGAATTTTACTGCAGTTCAAAAAAATCTCTGTTTATAAAGACAAAAGAGTTTTTTGTTCAGTCGGCAAACAACAGTAGCAGCAGGGACTGGAATGTGATGAAGTCATTTTGATAGGATGGCTGAAAAAGCAAAAAGACATAAGGAGATGCTTTCTGTGAGCCAGATGTTGTGAAAAGATTAACTGAGACACGTTCGGCAGCCAACCTCATTAGCTTATTAAAGTTTCAGTCAGCACTTTGGTAAACTGATGGAAAGTGCCCATCTGCCTCTTCCACAGGTGGAGAACTGGTGTCCTCGCCTGCCCTGGAGGATGAAACTCCTGAACGATGAAAAAGACCTGAGTGGACAGGTGAGAAACTGAAAGCACGCCTTTCAGACAACTGAGATGTTTTTATAAAAACAGGTTGAATATTTACAATAGTAAGTGTTACGTTGCATTTCGCGTGTCACTGTTGTGTTTTCAGGAGATTGAATGTAATATTTGCGTAAAGTTTTGTGTTTCTGTACCAACCCTTATCAGTGATGGGAATAAAAACAGATGTCAGAGTCCGTTCCCTCAGTTTAGATTGTTTGCTTTTGAATGTCATTCTGTTTAATAACAGGCAGCAGGTCCAACAGATGGACAAATTCTCAKAGAGGTAGGGGACACCTTGGCCAGGTCTTCAGTCCAACACGGACACAGAGACAGACAACCAACCGTCCATTAGGGTTGGGCAATATTGGCAAAAAAATTCATCACGATTAATTGTGATATTTAGCCGATAACGATTAATTTGACGATGAATCCCCTGGAGTCCATTATGTCCTAGTCACATGACCAATTTAGTGGGAAAGATTTGCTCTTCATAAAAATCTGTTCCAAATTATGTCAAAATTACAGACTTCGGGCTATACATCAAATTTTAAATTGTGTTGATAGATAAATAAATTACAGAAGTTTTTTTAATGTTTGTCATATTTGAAGCGAAGAGGAGCATCGAGCGGACTGACTGGGGAAATCTCCACTCTGTCTGCCTGGTGGCATTAATTGTATTAATCGTGAAGTGCCAAAAAATAATCGATAATTGTTTTTCTGACGATTAATTGCACACGATAGGATTATGCCCAACCCTACYGTCCATACTCACTCACACCTGTTTAGAGTCCTCTCTGTGTGTGTTTTCAGAAAAGGGTTCACTGTCCTCTGGGTTTGGGATGGCTTTTGCCTCCAGTGGAGAACTTTAAGGATCTCTGCGTTTTGTTCACAGTAAGAGAAGACTGGAGCGTTATGCTGCGTTCACACCGAACGCGATTTCAGCATCAAAATTGCGTCCAACGCTTCAAGTTGGACGCTTGTGCACTGAGCACTTGTAGATCCTCCTCTGCCGGTCTCTGTTTAATGGTGGATGAAATAAAGGAAGTGGCTTTGCTTTATTTACTGAGAGCAAAAGAACGTYGCGCTCACCAGATAATTAATTCATATTTAATTCACCAGATAAGCCTGAGCCTGGTTCTGCTGGAGGTTTCTTCCTGATTAGCAGGGAGTTTTTCCTCTACAGTGTACACAGTTTGCTCAGGATGGGAGACTGTGATGAAGTGATTCAATGCAGCCTGCTGGTTTCTTCTATAGATTGTTCTTTTTATGTACAGTGCCCTGAGACAACGTATGTTGTGACTTGGCGCTATATAAATAAACTGGAACTTGAACTAGATAATTCAGAGACGTTCTGAGTTCCCGGAGCTGCGAGCTGATCTGACTCACTTTCAGAACTATTTTTTGTCCCGAGTCCAGTTTGACGAGCTGCTGACCCGCATTGGTGCGGATATCTCCTGCCAGGACACCGACTACAGGCACTTGATTTAGCTAGAGAGCTCCTGTCCATCTGTCTCAGTTTAGTGGACATCATTCAGAAAACCATCCGGTCAGAAAATGTGTCATTACGTCACACAGTGGAGTCTCTCTGATTGGTTGACCCTCTGCATCGAGCTACAAAAGTTCAGATTTTCCAACTCCAGCTTTCGACGTGCTTGACGTGTGAATCGCTCAAATCAGACGTTCTGCAGCACTTCCCGACACTGCTTGACGCACGTCCACCATAGACTTTGCATGTAAACCTGAAGCTGAAATCGTGTTTGGTGTGAACGCAGCATTAGACAGACGGATTTATTTATGCAGCTCCTGCAGGATTGTGGACTCTGTGCTGGTCTSTCATAAAGAGGGAACTGATCTGCAACACAAAGCTATCRGTTTACCATTTTGTTGAACCATTTTAAGAAAAGGCCTTTAGAGACACAGAGAGGAGTTCAGTTCTCCAGGAGAAACTCAGAGTAGAGYTGCKGCTCCACACCCAGAGGAACCAGCTGAGGTGGTTCATCTGGTAAGGAGGACMCCTGGACGCCTCCCTAGGACMRTGTGCTGGYCATGTCCAACTGGAAGGAGACCCCAGGGAAGACCCAGTACATGTTGAAGATAGAGTTCTCTGTACTTCCCTGATCAGAGAAGTAGACATTCCAGCCTTGTTTTAATAAAAACCAGTCATTCTACAAGCTGGACGAGCTCTTTGGAAAGTAATTCTGRAGAATTTTTTTTCTTGTATTACTTTAAACAAAAGTACAAACTCAGTTGACCTCTGGTTTTATTTTGACACGACACCTGGTAGGTTCCATGTGTCTCTTCAGTTAAGACAGCATTTTTATTTATTTATTTATTTATTTATTTTTACTGAATTCGAAGGTGTTTTTTTTATTTTGTATTTGTTCAGCTGACATTGCTTATGTCACGGATTATGATTTTTCTTCGAATTCTTTCCAAGTATTTCACCTTTATTCTCATCGTTCTTTTAATTTACCTTTTGGAACAACATTTACAGAAGACATAGATGTCTGATGTATATGTAAAACCCCTGTTAATACCTATTGATGTTACTGAATATTAGAGAATATTGAACGTTGTTGACTGACTGAAGTCTGTTTTTGGTGCTGGTCAGTGTTACCAGATAAATGACATTTACTGTATTTATACAATAGTTTTAAGGTCTACACAATATATGATCAATTATGTTAAAAAAACAAATATATGATCATTTTGGTATTTCTATGCACCAAATAAAACCTTGGACCAGTCAGACCTGGCTGGCCAGGTGCCAGGTACCTGCAACATGAACATAATCGCACAGAAGTTCTGAATGGTAAGGCTARTGAGGCTAAATAACAATCCCTTTCTTTAGTGTAGATTTCCATTTTCTCTCTGATTCTGGGCAGCATTTACTGTACATCCTGTTGTATTTTAAAACAGCCTGAGAGCAAACAGACTCATCTTTAAGATCTCCAGTATCGRTGCTCCACACTCCTCCCCTCCTTTCTCTTCTTCCTCCCTCTTCCCTCTGATGTGAATGAATCAATATTAAGCACTCTTCATCTCGTCCTCCGGATGGATCAACAACACACAGCTCTCTGCAGCAGAGAGGCGGGCTTCAGAGGTTTTTAATTTGGGGTCCAGATTTTAATTGGCTCCGTCTGTGAAAGTTGATTTCCTGTCGCGGTGAGGGATGTTAATGCTTCGCAGCAGCCTTGTTTCAGCCACCTTAGCAACTGGTAATGGCTCTGTGGTTTCTGCTTTCCTCTCTCCATCTTCCTCTCGTTGGCTCCATCTGATTCACAGCTCCTTATCCTTTCAGGCATTTTTATTTATTTATTTTTTACTTTACAGTCATTGGGTTTCACCGTATCTGAAATCCATCCTGTGCCTCTGAGTGGCAGCAAACTGAGGTTKTATTTCCACATTTCAAATGTGAGGTTCAGTTAAGGTTTGTCCACACAGGAGCAGATTAATCCAATTTGTAGTTTGCACCAACAGTTAGATATCCTGTCAGCTCCAATACATCCTTGTTGATTTTCTTGTTTTTGTCTTCTTAATTTATTTACAACTTCCCTTTAAAGCATCTAATTGATGTTTTTGTATCATTCTTTAACAACCAAATCACTAATGTGTTTCCTGCATGCCAGTCTTTTATCTCCRAATGCTGTATTTGTTGTTTCTGTCAGTATTGATAGGCATCAGTACCTTTTATTAACTGTAAATATTTCCAATACGTCAAAGTGACAGTCAAGTTTATTTTTTATTTTATTTTTTTTAGCTCTGTGTTGCACAAATAGGAACAGCAATCGACAAGTTCAACACATTCAAGCAGGGGCGTCCAGTCTCGGTCCTCAAGAGCTGCCATCCTACATGTTTTAGTTGCTTCCCTGCTTGTAGCTCTGTTGAAACCTGACAAGCATGTTAAAGCAGAGAAACATCTGAAACATGTAGGAATGATAAAACACCACTGCATTGATGTGCTGGGTTTTTTTTTAATTACTTGATCCATTTATAGCCCAGGTCTGTTTTAAGATGGGACATTCCATGTGTTTGGTCCTGAACAAGACCCCAATTGGTTACATTCAACTGTTTTTTGTCWAAATCTGAAACAGAAATAATAAGTTTAACCAAAATAATCAAAGTTTCCATAACTTCTACCACTAAAACAGAAAATCCTAAAGCTTTAGCACTAGAAAAAACATTTTAGCTTGACTTAGTTCCACAAGTGAAACATTTTTTAACTGGTTGATGCTACAAATAAAAACATTGCCTCTTTAGTATGGATGTTATTGTTGGATCAGTAAAACCAATGGTGGGCAGCACTAATCTCAAAATTAGTTCCAGTAGCCCTAAAACACTAACTCAAATATTTAGGTCCCCTAATTCTAAAGCACTAAAATAACCCAGTCAACCCATGAACATTCTTCAACAAACAACATGAGTCACATGTTGTTTGTTGCTCTCTGAAGACTTATCATTGACATTCCACAGCTGTGTTTGGGTTCATTTATTGTCAATATATTATCATAGTGGATAAGTGACACATATGAGCAAAATGTGTGACAGTTTTCACCCTCAGCTGTTAACATTAATGTTGATCAATAACATTTATAGACCTCAGTTAGTGCTTCTAAATTTAGCCTATAAATTTAGCAAGTGCTAATCCACTAATAAATTTTAAAATATAAAAAGTCCTAAAGCACTAATCAGGAAATTAGTTCCCCTATTAGTGCTTTACTGCTTTAGGGGAATTGTGGTCACCACTGAGTCAAACCAATCACTAAGAAATGTCAGATGTCAAGTTTGTTTTATTTGACAGAAGTTGTGTGAACTGTGTGTGTGCAGGCTGAGATCCGGACCAGCTTCGAGGGGCTTTACCGCTCGATGTCACAGCGGGAGGAGTTTCGCTGGATGATGCTGAGGATCAAACGCATGGCCGAGCCGTGGGTCAGCGCCATCCGCTCCCTGGCTGCCAAGCAGAACCTGACCAAGCGGCGGAGGAAGAAGGTGAGCTGTGTTAGATTAAGGTTTGCTTTGATCGTAGCGGTTAATCAAACACCCCGTGCTGTCGGGTCAGTCCTCACACACTTCTTCACACATGTCCTACTTCTGCCGGAAAAAGAAGCCCAGATAGGAAAGACCCGACGTGGATGTTTCATTGTGTCCCGAGCTGGTGACTGCCCCCAGCTCTGAATTATGTACTCCAGTTTTTCCAGTGGCCTTGTGTAAAATTCACATCATAAATCAATGATAAAAGCTGTCCTCTTTATACAAAGAAGAAACCTCAAATGTCCCTGCATCTTCTGTCCTGTTTTTAGTTTCCTATTTACAGTTTCTAGCTTTTGCTAGTTTTTTTTTTTTTTTTTGGTGTTTTAATGAAACAAAGGTTTTATTTCTCCTGTTCCTTATTTAATGCGAGCTCTTTCTTTGAGCTGCTAATCTCTCTTGGATATTAATCCGCATATATTAATCCTTGATGAGTAAGCTCTGGCGCAGAGCCCGGCTCTCARCCATGAAAACAAACACTGGTCGCTTCAAACATTTTGCACAAAGCTGGGTTTTACTTCCTGGTTGGGCTGTAGAACTCTGCRTTTCCTTTCAGCACCTCTTACCTCCATGGGTTTTGTTTTTTTACACTGTGTGGGTGGTTTACCACAACCTGTATAGGAAAAACTGAAAACACCTAACCCTCAATCTTAAATGTAGAAAACCTCTYTTCTTCTCTGGATTGTACATAATCATGCCAGAAGATAAAGTTTAGATTAAACCCAGAGATGTTTTAGTATTGCTCATTTTTTAAACTAAGGTTGACCGAAAAGCGATTTCAGTTACAGTCTACTAGATTTTRGGACAAAAAGTAGCRATATTTTGTAGTTTGGTARTTTATTGATGGATATTGGTACCTAYTCTTACTTGTACTACCACTTATTGAAAGCTCACTATAGATACTGTTTAAAGCATGAAGTTCTAAAAGGTTATATTTTATGTCTATTCAGTTGAATAGGTGAGGTGTGAAAGTAGGCAGTTTACAGTATGTATATATAATGTATTTTTTTAAATGGTAGCATAATAATTTGGTCAACTTCCTCTTCAGTTTGTTGGTGTCGTGCTGAAATAAGTACCCCGGTCATGAAATGGACGACGATTGCTGGAAGAGCTTTAACAAAGTRTAGTTAAGTGTAACAACAGTTACCTGCCTTATATTGTGTTTATGCTCTAGTCTATTAAATATTACAAAACAAAAACTGGTGTAATTATTTAGCATATGTTGTCTACTTTAATATATTCAGGCTTAATCAATGGTGCACAGAGAAAATTGGTAAACCAAATGTGCTAACCAATCAAAGTCTACCTCTAATTATAATTCACATTCAGTTTGAATTTTGAATCAACTCTTGACGTCAGTCTGTTGGGTGGAAGTTTTTTCCTGTCTCACAATTTGATTCAATTATGAATAAAATGCAATTTAAAAACAAAACAAACCCCTAATACTTATGTTTTATGGTAATATTGAAAGTTAAAGGCTTATTTTTACACAAATAAACCTTCAATTATAATTTCCCATACTCAACATACGACAATTAGGGCCACACAGCAAGATTTTTTTTATTACAAGATTAAAGTCATAATATTAAAATTTTAATCTCGTAATAAAAATGAATAAAAATTTTGTAGTGTGGTCCTAATACTTTGTCATATGAATAAATGTTACACAATGACATGTTGAAAAGGCCTATTAATCACAGACTGCAGACCAACATTAATGCAATGATGCTAACTTCATGTTGAAAACTATTTGTTAAAGCTAGCACGATTAGCTTGGATGCTAACTGAATGTTGCGACATAGCTAAGCTAAAAATAATTAGCATGTCTTCTAACTTTATGTTGAACATTAATTCTCAGTGTTCTCTGCTTTTCCCTCTTCCATCAGATCCTGGTCCACTTGGGCCTTCTCACCAAGGAGTCGGGCTTCAAGATCGCAGAGAATGCCTTCAGCGGCGGCCCGTTGGGGGAGTTGGTCCAGTGGAGCGACCTCATCACCACCCTGTACCTCCTGGGCCATGATGTTCGCATCTCTGCTTCGCTGGCTGAGCTCAAAGAGTCGGTTTAGTTTTTACATCTCGTAGAGCTGACTGATCTTTGTGAAAGTTTGCTGCATTTGTTAATCAGAAGTTAATGTTTACCTGCAAACCTTCGCTCCACAGGATCATGCGCAAGGTGATGGGGAACAAATCCAGCTGCCCCACCCAGGGCGATAAGATTGTGGAGCTCATCTACATTGACATYGTGGGCCTCACCCAGTTTAAGAAGACTCTGGGGCCTTCCTGGGTCCACTACCAGTAAGTTGGTTTGTTGAATTTTCACCAAACAGTCAATTCAGTTATTTATTCTKTTAAATGATGTGATCTGTCTTGCCAGCTTCAGTTTAGCAGCTTCTCTTCATGAGCGCATGCCGTTGGGATGACGTTTGTCTGGCAGTCGTTAGAACAAAGACTCCATTTTCCGTTCATATAAAACTCAACATCCCGTGGATTGTCTGCTGTTCACGTCACTGACCGGTTCTGTTCTCACTCCAAACGCTCTGTCAGGGCTGCATATTAGTCCGTCTGGGTTATGTTTAAAAAAAAAAAAACCTCCCATCAGCTCATCCTGACAGGAACAGAGGTGGAACAAGAAGTCTGCGGCCATTAATGGCTTGTTTCCTGCAGCTTGTCACCAGCTTTTGTTTGTCTGAGATAAAAACACCTTAAGCTGCATCTGCCAGCTTTGTGCCCCGAGGAAATAAGTTTCTCCTCAGGCGTCGTGGAATATTTTTTTCCTGCTGTTACACAATCATGTCACCGTACATTTAACTGAAGGGATCTGTTGTCTGTTACCTTTGGGATTTATATGTTTGACTTTGTGGCCTCAAAATCCCATAATCCCTTTGCCTTTAGCTAAACAAAACAAGCTACTTCTGCATATTTAGGCTCTTAGGAATCAAACAACGTAGTTACTGCTGCCCTTTCTCAATTTATTTATTTATTTATTTATTTTAGGAAAATGTCTTATTTGAGATCTTAAAAAAATTGTATTTTTTTAAAGAAAGAATTATTTGCCCTTGAAGTTGGAGCCCCATAGAAATTAATATAGCTCACATATCCTGAAGTAAAAAAAAAGGGTTTTCCTTAATTTATAAAAATAAAATTTTAATCAAACTTAAATTTGAAATGAGTGCAGCAAAATAAACAATTTTAAAAGGTATAAGAGYATAATACCTACCATATCAGGTGCAGAATATTGGTCCCAGAAAGTCATACAGTGYTTTGTACAGATAAATAATTACAGATTATCATGTTCTCAACACAGGGGTGGGCATGAAAGAAAATATTTAAGAACCACTACTTTATGCCAACTTAATTAAGCTTAAAGATGCAGTAAGGAATGAATGAGTGAATATAATAGTACAGTGGTGCATGATGAAAATCGATTAGCCTGAAAATCTGCATATCACTCAGAGCTGAACAGAAATCCAAAACAAAATGGGTCAAAATCAGAATTGGCATGTTAGAGCCTGACCAAAAACACATCAGGAATCTGAATCTGCCAAGAAAGCAGTGATCTGTGCATCTCTAATAAACCCATTCAAATGTTTTTCCCACAGGTGTATGCTACGGGTGCTGGATTCCTTTGGAACGGAACCAGAGTTCAACCACGCCCACTACGCCCAGTCCAAGGGCCACAAGACTCCGTGGGGGAAGTGGAACCTCAACCCACAGCAGTTCAACACCATGTTCCGTAAGTCCARTCAACAAAAACGYGAACGAGCAGAAGCACTAATGAAATGCAGCTGAAGTGTTTTGGCTTMTTTTTCTGGCTTGTGAACGTGAAGTTTCTGTTCTGCAAAACAACCAGCTCTAATGGGACATCATCAGGCAGATTAGTGAGTGGTCGAACATTCGGCAYTCCTCTCTGCGGTGATCATGAACCAAGGGCTGAAATCGGCCACAGTTCCTGAGGCAGATGAGTAACAGAGCATGGCGTGAGGAGTAAAGCAAGCGAGCCCCCCTGGGATTTATGACCTTTTCCCCGCAGCTAAGAGAAAGTGAAATGTTACCTCCGCTGCTGCTGTTTGTGAGGTGAGGCCCGGAGCTGTGCAGAATGCCACGGTGCCTGAATGAGCCCTTTGTCGGCCGAAGAGGGTACGCCTTTCTCATAAAACACTGGGGCTTTTGCCCAAAATCTAGCCGGGAGTCATCGGGTTAGATGATATCGCAGGTGGAACAAGTGTGTGGCGGTTTGGCTGAGTGTTCAAACCACAGGGTGGCATCAATCCCAGGCATAAAAAAGAGATGTTTTCTCCCCTCTTCTGCTTTACGCTGCACAGGATCTCACTGTACAGCTAAAAATGAGCATGTGACCTAATCACCACTTTAGCTCAAAAATATGAGAACTGAGGTAATGTTGCTATTAAACAGTCAGGTTTTTGTTTTTAATCGGTGGCTTTACTAACTTTAAATGTTCTAATAAMCTTATCTAGATCTGCAGTCAGAATTTCAGATGAAGTAATGAACAAATCAAGTGTCAGTAAAATGATTTATTCTTGGTTTGGATTGGTCCATTTGTTTCYATTAGGTGTTGCTCCATCAATTATTGGTGGAGGGATCAGGGTCAGTGTTYAGTAAGACGAGACGGGGCTAAACTGACCTCATGAATCAATGCCAGCGTTTGGATTGAGACGTATGGTTTCTTTTCGCTGGTCAGTTTTGGTTTCTGTGTCCATTAATGTTCATTTCTACACCAAAGTTTGAGCTCAATAGAAAAGTTGTTAGGTTTTTCTGAAGGTTTGGAATTCAAGTCCTGTCCAGCCTGATTCCTAAAACACTTCATCAGCCTTGAAACAATTTTGTCACAAAGGTGTTTAAGATACGTCTGCTCTGGGAAATAAACTAGACCGTGATCATATATTTCTGTTGCTGATTCTTGTGCAGATTTTAAACATGTAATAATTATTGTGTAAGAGTGAGCTTAAGGTGAATCAAGCTTTTCCCACATCTCTCATACACAAGGTTATGAGGAAACTTTTACCAAGGTATTTCTCA